ATTAAAGTTAGATGAAAATGGAAAAGAATGCCCTATAGCCTATCAGAGTAGATGGTTAGGAAAATCTGAAACAAGTTATTCAGTGACTGAACAAGAATGCTTAATGAGATAAGATCCAATGTCTAGATTAGCAAGATGGCCATTATCATTGCAAGTCTATGATTTTGAAGTCATACATATACTAGGTAGGAAGCATTCTAATGTTGATGCCTTATGTAGAATTAAAACTGAAAATACAGAAAACAATGAAAAACAGCCAATTAATGAAGTAAAAGAAACAAAAACAGAAAATCTGGATGATTATTAAGTAATTTGGAACAGAAAAGGGATGGTGTAGTAATTTCATTACAAAATAAAGTATTAAGTTATGCATGGAAATAAATAGTAGAGGAAGCTTAAGTAAGATACTACAGATAGTTGTACCTCATAGTTTGAAGAATGAAGTTATGAAAACATACCATGATATCCAATTCACTACTCACTTAGATTTTCCCAAGACATATAGTAGGATAAGTAAAAGGTTCTTCTGGCCAAATATGCAGAAAGATACTAAAGATTATTGCAAATCATTTATAGACAAGCTACAGTATAAGAAATCAAACCAATGGGCTGTATTATTGATATTAAACATACATGATCATAGCAGAGAGAAATACTACAGAAAGTTTATGTTACCTTCATTAACTATGGGAAGTAAGCTACATATAAAATGGTTGGCAGAACTTTGATCAGAAGGAAAATGTGGAGAGATACATGCTCATAGGCCACTGTCTAACAGTTTGTTGTTGTTTAAATGATTTAGAAAAATTAAACCATAGGAGTAGAAAATCTACTTGAAAACAAAATAGGTTAATTGAAGAGTCATAAGGGCACATAAAAATGGGTATAAAATCTTGTGTTTTCATCTCAGAAGTTAGTTCACCAGTGACAAACCAGTGGCTAGTAGATAGGCTGAAATCCTGATTCCTGTCCCATGCTGTGTTGCAGAATATGACAAATATCTGCTTTACAAACTCTCTCTAAGTATAAATTACAACTCTCAGACAGATCTAAACCCTAACATTCCTAAAAATATATCTATTTTGAGTTAATTTTTCAATATATTGATTAATATAAATATACTAAATAGAATCTCTACATAAAATGGCATTTACTACAATAACTGAATAAGCACCCTTCACATTCATATTATAAAATCCAGAGAACAATGTTTCGTCACGTGCTTTGCTTATTATTCTGTTATTTGTAAAACGTGCATGAAATACAGCGATTGGAATAACATGACTGAAATTGACACCTTCGACTAGGATTGGCTAAAAAGTTTTACAACTGAGGTTTAACATGCTGTTTTATAAAGAAAACAGACTAGAAAAAGTTCAAATTCGATGACGAGGAACCCACTTTGAGACTAATAATGGTTGGAGTTGGCTTGGATGGGTAATGAAGAAAAACTTTAATATAAGTATATATATATACTATACGTACTATATACTGACTCGTTAAACGTACGTACGTTAAAACGTTTCGGAACGTTTAACGTTAACGTTAACGTACGTTAAAAAGG